AATCTTTAAATGAATTGTAGTTTAATTTTGAATTTTGGCCCAGAACAACATATAAAATTGAAAATAAGGTTTGAAATAAGAAATATAATTTCAAATTTAGATAGACACTGATATAAAAGGTGAACTAGAAGTGATGTTAGAAAATCAAGAGGGATAACTGTATTTTATTCCAAAAATCAATAGAGTATAATATTACTAAATTAACTAAAAGTAGTGATATCAATAATAATAAAATATGCTGTGATTAAAGTAAAATAGGTTCAAAAATAATATATATCAATGGAAAGAAAATAAAATAATACAGAATAAAATAAGGTAAACTAAAATGACAGCTATATATATTAACATATAAATATAGGTAAATAAATGAATAATTAAATGAAAATGATAAATGCAAATAGATGAGTAAATAAACACATGTTTCTAATAGACTGAAAGTAAAAGAAAGTGACAAAATGAAGCAAAAATAAAAAATAGTTATATACTAAAAATGATAGTGATAAGATAATGGAAAAATGTATTAGCAAAAATGCATAATGGTCTAATATTAACAATAGTTGTACAATAAAGGTAGTAAGAAGTTACAATGTAAAAATATCAATACTAGTATATGTACACCTGGTCTAGCTAGACTATATTAATCTGGGTTAATAGGGTTCGAGTAGAAATTTGCAGGTGCTCATCAACTTGATTCTTTTGTTTAATAGGTTAGGATTTTTTATATTTTTCATAGAGACATGTTTACTGCCTTTTCCAGTGAAAGACTTAGCTTTTGCTACTAATTCCTAGGTGATAATTCAGTTTTTATTCTAAGTGTTTAGCTTCCAGAAAAATTTAGAGAGGGCAGTGATATTTCAATATTTGATATTGCCAAATGTCATTCAGTTGTGGTAAAAGTGGAATTTCCAATTGTTTTCTGTGGAGCCTATGTAAAACTTGACCTTGTCATCATTTTTGATTTCAGCTTTATAAACTAACGATTTGGACATACATTTACCGTTTAATGGGCAGTGTTTGCTTTTCCTACAGTCGCATTTATTAGTTGTGGGAATGCTGATGTTTTGAAGGTTGTTGAAATGCTTGTTTAGAATGGAACTGTTGTTCTGAGCTATATACTGGTCGATGTTTTTAGCACAACTGTAGCTAACTTTGATTTTTTTTTTTTTGTTGATCTTATTAAGTATTGGAGAATGGCTAAAGTGCTTGTGGATTAAATTCAAAAAATTTTTCCAGTGTTTTGACAATTTTGTTGAGGAGTGGATTAAACCATATATTGCATTTACGTTTTGGTTTGTTGGCATCCTTATCGCTATCTGCTAAGAATTTAAGGTTAATTTTATGGTTACTATTGTCTCTGAGTCACTGGTGTGTTCATTCAAAAATAAATACATAAAAATTCACCTTCCTCTCTGCTGCAAGCTGATTCAGTCAGGTTTCGATCTTGGCTTGAGGCAATTAGATGAGCTGTAATATAGTGAAACAGTCTGTTTGTGGATGACAAATATATATATATATATATATATATATATATATAAGTGGAATTTGACGTCAACGTCCAATGGCAACAGTCTGTTTTATGCTAAATGCAATCAATGACCTGACAATTGTGTTTAACATGAAACAGACTGTTGCCCCTGGGTGTTGACTTCAATGTCCACTTTTATATTTACTTACACTCAATCCCTGATATTGAGCATACCTTGAAACACACACACACACATATATATATATATATATATATATATATATATATATATATATATATGAAAAACAGACCACTTTAAGGTACCATTACAATAATTTATTTCACCCAAGTCCTTTTTAAAGGATTTCGGATCATCAGGTATTCGGTTTACCAAGTTCTTCATAACTTAAATAGCTATATAGCGAGACTCTTCGCAGATGCGAATTGAGCCACTGTCGGTCACTGGGCGTGTTTCTAAAAATAAATACGCTAAAAAATCCACTTTCATCCCTACCGTGCACTGACGGCTTAATGGTTAGAATCTCCGACTGACACCAATTCAGTCGGTTTTCGATCCTAGCTAGAGGCAACCGGATGTCTAGCCACACTGATGAGCTGTGAAACAGCGAAATAGTCTGTCTGTGGATGATGTTATATATATATATATATATAAATATATATAAAAAAAGTGTGTGTGTGTTCTTATTAAGTAGCAAAGAAATTCTGGTTACTTTCACTATAACTCTTGTTTCTCTGCTTTTTGGCTACAGCCAGCTTCCAGAAGTAGTCAGAGGTGACATCACAGTAGCAATTGTATTAGTTGCACCAACATAGTTACTCACTCACTTTACTAAAAAAATTATATATTTTGGGGTGGTATGGATGGAGTATTAATAACCCTTTCTTTCTTTCTTTCTTTCTTTTTTTTTTTTTTTTTTTTTTTTTTTTTTTTGTCCTATAAAATTTATTTTGTGTAATGAAAATTAGTTTAAAATGAATTTTCCGTGTTACTTATGAAATACCCATTTGTCAATTAAAAATCTTTAAGCACTAATTAGTTTCAACATCATTTTTAAATATTACAATTTCAATAGAAGCATAGTGAATTTGGAATTTGAAGTCAATATCTTATTAATTACACAAGGCAGTGGTATTCTTATTTGTCATTTAACTTGCGTTTGATATACAGGAATTTATAATGTGGGTAGATTAATATTTTATATTTGAATATAATTAGATTAACATGTTTTCATTTCCATAGCATATATTGAAAAGAGAAGAAAACTGGAACGTTTGGAAAAATGATGGTTGCCCAAGTTTTGAACGAAACAAACCTGCAACAGATGTTCATCACAAACAGAGGTTCACTAGTCATTTGATAGTTTGTTTATTTTGCTTTATTTTTTAGATTTTAAAAGGAATAATAATTAAACTTTGAGAGCTTTTATGTAGAATTTTTTTTTTCTTTTCTGTGAAATTCTTAACCTCACATGTCTAAATAGATTTATTTATTATAAATGGATGTTCAAAAATAAATTATTAATTAATGAAAAAAAAATTGTTTTGATATTTTTTAAAGTTTTTCATTTTTGTCCTCAAATATTTTCGAATGAATAATCTCTAAAAACATGTTCTGCTTCAACATTAATCTTTTACTTGTTAACCTGATTGTCTGTCCTTTTTAGTCATTGCTTCTGGTACTTTGTTATTATTAGAATATGTCACCAATATTATGAAATAATAATCTGAGTATACAATCTATTATCACTTCATAATTTGTAAATTTTCACTCTTCTGGAAAATGAACAGGCTAATGTTTGTGTTTTTGACAAATGTTTTAGGAATGATGTGTCAGTCTTTAATCTAAATATTCAATAAGATTATCCCAAACTATCAAAATTATTGTACAAAATAAGCATTCATTTTCTTTTCTTTTTGTGTTTGTCTCAGCTCTCTTTTATATATATTACAAAGAAAAGATTCTAAAACCTGAAATTGAGTTGAGTTTTCTAAAGTTAATGTTTGAAAAATAAATGCATGAAAAGCAAACTTTTGTCAAAATTCTTTTTTCTTTTCATTATTTTAGAGTAAAGAGAAAAAGTCTTGGTGCAGATCTAATGGCCAGTGGTGGAAAGATTATTAAAATGGGTAACCCTGAACTGACAAGGTTGTGGAATCTTTGCCCAGATAACAATGAAGCTTGCAAATCAGAGAAAAGGTAAAATCCATAAATAATAAATTCAATTTTAGAACATATATGGATCATTTTCATATCGAATCAAGCCTCAGAAAAATGTGGAAAAATTCACAGGTGTTCCTAAATAAAATTTCAAATATTTGATCTATATATTTAAACTAGGAACATCTTGAAATTTTGCTGCGTTTTTTACATTTTATTATATGAGGTGTTCAATGAATTTCTGATATTCATAGCTTCAAGGATATTTTGCATTTACAGATTTGAAACTTGATGACAATAGTTAATGTTTACTGTTGATTACAAAGATATAAACAGCTTAGTACTTTTCTCATTAGTGTCTTAAGTACTTTTATTTTTATAAGAACCTGAAATTGGTCAAAATGCAAAAAGATGCTGTCTACTTTGAGTGCTTCATATTTACAAAATATGTCAACATCCAAATTAGTTTCCCTCTCATTTATTTCTATGCAATAACCATATTCATTTCTGTTATAGTATTGTTAGTATTACTGTTTGAAAATTGCTTGATATTTTTTTAACATCCTTAAAATTGCATTTCATATATTCATGACACAAGTTGTACAACAGAGGATGAAATAAACCCACCCATCCACTTCCTTTGGATGCTTCCTATGACAAATAGATTCCTCTGCAGTCTTAATATCATGTTTCTCAGATTAGTCTTTTACTATTATACCAGTATTTTCATCCAGATAAATTTCTTTCTTTTGTAGTTTCCAGCTGGTTAAAGATTAAGAATGTATTGAATCCTACAGATCAGCTGGTGTCAAAAAAAATTGCATGTACTTTAAAATAATTATTTTTATATTAGTCATGGTGGGGGTGGTAGTATTAATGTCATTTGATCAAATCTTATTAAGAAGTCTACTTAGGTAGAAGTGACCATCTAAGGTAAAACTATAAATAAGTATTGTGGATAAAATTTGTTTCAACTTATATGACACAGGACTTTTTTTTCTTTGCTGTTTTATTTGCGTCTTATGTGTCATCAAATATGGTATATTTTTTAATGTTATATTTTAGTTTTTACCATATTTGTCCTAAATTCTTTATAATTTTGATATGAATTTTCTAAGCAAATCCTATTCATCATTCTATATCTCTTATTTCCAAACATTTCCAAAATTTTTCTGCTTTTATAAGTGTCTAATTTAAAATGTATTGTCAATTTGATATGAAATAAACTAAGTAACCCATTATATAATCCATTATACATCTGTGTGTAGAAATAAATCATTTTATCTCTGGCTATCTGCATTGTTTGATGATATTAAATCTTTTTATAAACTTTAGGCATATCTTTGATATCTGCTCTGTAAAGTTTGTTGTCTCTGTTGTCTAACTATTGGATTGAGTATTTTCAATGCATCTATGATAGTCATATGAATAGATATTAGAATCTAAATCTGTAAATGCTGCATTGATGCAACTTATTTGTGAATATTCTTCTTTTTATATACAACTCTCCAGTTCTTCAAATTTTGTCTTCAATAAATTCACATGGGCAACAACAAACCAGAGAATTAAAGTTTGATCAGTTTCTCTCTTTTTTTTTTTTTTTTTTTTTTTTTAAACTTTTCCCATCTTTTATGGGATTTAGTGAAATACTGAGTTTTATTCTATTGACATTTTCTGTATTCTTTTCTCTCTGCTTATTTTTTTATTTTTTTAATTTTTTTTAAAACTTTTAGGATATTCTTGCCAACCCTTGAAGACTTCTTTGTTGATGCCATTGAGCAAGCTGACCCTGAGGCTATGATGGATGAGGACCTTAAGTAATCATACCATTATTTTATTCTCTCAAATCTGGATTTGTATCTGCATCTTTGAAAAATTTAAAGAAAATAAGAATTGCAAACATTTACTGCTAACACTGAATAATTTAAAAAAAAAAAAAAAAAAAGAGCTAAGATTTCTGGCACACAATGAGAAGAGAAGGGTTGGAAAATTTAACACACAATACATATTAAAAGCAGGATGGAACAATAAATAACCTACCAAACACATTTGAGAGAATGGATGGGAGAAGAAGGACAAAGAGTGGGTAGTAATGGCGTAAGCGTTACTTAGACCCAGAAAAGACAGTTGAAGAAAGCCATGAGATGCTATATCTTGAAAGGATATGGCATACAAAAGAAGACCTTCTTTGTTTATTACTGTTTTTGGCAAAGGCGCAATTCATAATTCCGGTTCAGATTTTAAAAACATTTCAAATATTTCTTTAATATGACAAAGGATTGTCTGTTAATATCTTTAAAAAAATATTGACATTTTATATTGAAACAAAAAATATTACAAAAAAAGATATTAAAAGATATTTTATATTTATTGTATGAATTTTTGTTTGTATATTTTGGATTCAGTGAAAGTGGATTACCAACATTTTGTTGATAATACAATTTGTAATGTTTACTATATTTTCAAGAAATTGTTAAAAGTTTCTTAATCCACAACTGTTTTTATGAATGTGAAATACATTCATCAAAATTGACAGAATTACCATCATTCTTCAAAGTTAAAACTTCAGCATAGCATTATGCATGACAACAATTTTTGTAACATTTCAGAAAGAACCAGAAGCACACTAACTTCACACAGATTATATATATATATATATATATATATATATATATATATATATATCTGTGTGTTTGTCTGCATGCAGTTTTGTCAGAAATGATGCTAGTAATCCCATACAATAATCAGAAGTGTAATTACTAAACTAAAGAATGCATACAAATAAAATTACTACAAGAATAATTTTGCAATTTACACTAATCCATAAGAAATGGTTTTCGTTTTATATTTAAGATAAAAGTGAGGCACATTTTTAAAAATAAAATAAAATAAATTTTTTTTTTTTTTGGTTTGATAATTTAATTAAAAAAAAAAGAAAAAGTTTGTTTAGGCCCATCCAATATTTTAAAGGAACTAAGGCTTTGCATTCAATTTTTCTTATCTATTTAGCAGCACTATTTTTATTTCTCTTAAAGAATTTGACTTGAGTAAAGATGCAATAAAAACCATCTCAAAATTAAGATGAAAGTCAATACAAGTTAAAAATTGATCATCGTTATCTATTGATCATTTCATGAAAGAAATCTTAAAATCTACTTCTGTTTCATGCCAAAATTAACTTCTATATTCTTTTTTAGATTAGTCAATGAACAAGTGTTTCAATGGAAGGCCCTTCGTCTGTTAGCTCGTCGTAGTCCCCACTTTTTTACTCATACCCACCAACCAGCTGTCAGTCTTCCTGTTTATTTAGAAAGTATGGTAACCAAGTTAGCAAAGGAAATGCCAGTAAGTAACCAATTTTTATCTTTTTTTTTTTTTTTTTGTTTATTATTATATATGACATTGTTGTTTTGATATAAAAAAAGAAAAAGTAAGGACAAAATTATAAATCTAAAATCAATTTTCAAAAAAAGCTAAAATTTACATATAAACTCGTGGTTAATAACAAAATTCCATTCTTTGATGTTGATAGAGAACAAGAATCTAAAGTATTTACCACTTAACCTGTATAAAAAAAAAAACACCAGTACAAATTCTTTTCTTCTAAGCTTTGATAGCCATTGCCCAGAAAGATATAAAATAGTAGTGATAAAAATCTTCCGAAAATAGAGCACACCTAAATTCTTCTTCTTAGAGAATATTTCTGAGTGAACTAAAACACATAAAACAAACATTATTCAACAATAATTTTCCCAACTGCATCATCAATAAAACAAATAAAATTATTCTTACAAAAAATACATGACACCAGTAATAAAAATACCATACAACAAAACATCAATATATTTTACTTCAATCAGATGTACATTAATTACAAGTAGAATGAATTCACTATACAATGAATCATTAAACACCATATTTCTGCCATAAATCCTGAAAACTATGTAAAACATATATTACAGAAAATGGAAAACCACCAACCACATCACTAAACAAAATAACCCTGTCAAATCTAAACTCGCAATAACCAATATAGTGTATCAATTCCACTACCTAGTACAAGACTGTGTTTCTTGTCATAAATTGATTAACTTAGGTACCTCCACGAGATCGCTAAAAAAAGAGCATAGCATGATGAAAAAGAGGCCAAACTTGAAAACAAAATTTTATCGTCTAAATGTTTGTTATTATTAAGAGGAAAGATCAAAGTATTTTGGGGGTATATTTTACATTTTTTTAATCGTTCCTAGCACAAATTTTCGTTAAAAACCTTTTTTTTTTTTTTTTTTTTTTTTTTTTTTTTTTTTTTTGTTTTTGTTTTTTTTTGAGTCAGCAAAATTGACAGATATCAACCATTTTTTTCCATTTTTATAAAAAAAATGAAAATCTCACTTTGAAATTCTTTTAAATATCAATTATCATTTTTACAAAACCTATTTTAAGAAAATCAGAAATTATAATGTTTGTTTAAAATATTTTGAACCAAGCTTAACTTAACTTCTGCGCCGAAAAGATGTAATTTGAAAATAAAGCAAAGCAAGCCATAAACTTTCGCATCACTTGACATGTGATGAATGACATATCGACAGATTCTGTGAGGATAATTTGTTCTACGGAAGGAGAAAAGTTACATTATTTACATTTAAGTGAAGAAATTATTTACCTCATTATTTTTAAGGAAAACTTTCAGCGCTCTATTTTTTTTTTTTTTTTTTTTTTTTTTGTACTTAGCTTTCACCTTTATGTTTACGATGCTTTATGGAAAATATATTATAAAGAAATTAAAATAAGACTGTTACGAATGAGATTAAATTTCATATTTCATAAGAAAGGTATCTAATTAATTTATAGGTACCTTTCTTATGAAATTTTATCAGAACTGTACATAAAATACTATAATTTTATGTACATTTATTACATTTTACTGTGTTATTTGTATTTGCATTCATTTTATTATTAATTTTGATATTTCATTTATGGAAAAATGTCATAACTGAGATTAATATAAAAATAAGATCATATAAATTTCATAAGATGATACTGATACTTGTAGGTACCCTTCTCAGTTGAAATTGAAAAATCAAATTAACTTCTCCACACATGTTTCACAAAAGTAAAGGTCTTAACAGTGGAGAACAATGCTTAACACAAATAAAGCAACTTAATTGTATTCTAGTTGGTCTTCCATACTTTATAATTACAGCCCGATTATAAACACAAAATTACATTTTTTTTTTAGTTACTGCGGATCTTCTGATTAGTCAAAATGATACAATTTACAACATGCTAAAAAAAAAAAAAAAAAGTCTATCTCATAAGGACACTTAGGAAACCCAATGCAGCTTTTAACTAATTTTATAATATTTTAACAACTTTAATGTAAAAATCAATTATAATTAAAAAATAACATAACTTTATTAAAAACTCATTTTTCATCGAAACTTTTTTTTTGCTTTCAGAAAATATCATCCATATTCATAAAAACAACTAAAAGCAAATAAAAGCATTTGAAATTAAATAATATCTTTGTTTTATTGAGTTTTGTATGTTACAATTCAGAGCTGATTTTCAGGTGGGGGGTGGGGTCCAATTAAAAACAAAAAAAAAACATGATTTGCATTCCTCAAAGCCTTGTGCTTTTAACTATTGTAATCACTAAACCTGATGTGATCGAATTTCTAGCATTTTCATAAAATTAGTTGGGGGGATGTTATAAATTAAAAAAAAAATATTTCTGCCATGACTTTATTAAAAAAGAAAACATATTTATAATAATTTCCATCATCTGTGAATAGTTTCTGAAAGTTTCATTAACATCCAACAATTATTTTTGCAAGATTTTCCAAATTAATGTGTGCCATACAAAAAAAAAACATGCTAAAAATTGTCTGTTATTTTACTAGTTCCGGTGATACAAAGAGAAACAAAGTTTTTTTAATCAAAATTTAGAATGTTCTAAAAAGAAAGAAAAATTTTTTAAAAATAATTAAAATAAACTTCGATCTTTCCTCTTAATAATAACATAAGCATTTAGACAATAAGATTTTGTTTTCATCAAGTTTTGTGTCTTTTTCATCATGCTATGCTCTTTTTTTAGCAATTTCATGGAGGTACCAAAATTAACTATATTGGTCATACCACAAAACTGCATGTTTGTTAATAGTTACTGATTTTGATGTTTTGAAAATTGGTTGTTCCTTGATTTCCAGTTCATCCTTATGCATTTCATATAATGATGGTGTTGTTGTTGTTGTGAGATTGTCTGCTTCTATTATACTCATTATTGTTGTCTCCTATTATTCTGTGTATTTTGTTGTCTTGAATTTGCTAATGTTATTTGTTTGTATTTCAGCCACCGCATGAAGAAATGAAGACTGACATTGGTGAAGAAGAAGAAATCAAAGCCCCGTCTCCTGAAGAAGATGGAGAAGAGATAAAAAATGATGGTGGTGAGACTAAATGTTAATTTTTCCATTTTATTTAATGTATTTTAATTTCTTCTCTTTTTTTGTTTTGTTTATTCCCAATTCATGATAAATATTAAGCAAAAGTATTGTTTAAAAAAAAAAAAAAAAAATTTTTTTTTTTTCACTTTTGTCTCTTTCATGGTTTTCTTGTTTCTCTGTATATAAAAGAATCCTCTGAATTTTACAGCTGACATTCCAGCATCTACTTGGAAATTCAACTCTGACTTTCTGCAAGGTATGTCTTGGAGATTTCTTTTTAGGATGGAAGGGTTTAAATCCATGAATGATTGATATTTTAGAGTGTGGGGGTGAACTCATTTGAAGATTAGGCAGTTATTTTCTGCAAAATATTTATTTAAATACCTTATGAAATCTTTATTTTATTCTATTCACTTTTACAAAATAATTACAATTGCTTAGTTTTGTAATGGAGGACCAAATTTGCACTCAGAATTATAAAATCGGTTAGTGTGTTGCATGGCATATGATGGTGTTTTAATCCTGGGAATATACTCTTGTCATTGTGGTTGATATCAGGTTTTGTCACTTTTGGTCATCCATACTTCAGTTGTCTCACCAGAAGCTTTATAAATTTAAGTGGGCTTTCATCATATATGGATAAAGAAAGTTAATACCCACTTGACTTTTGAACTGTCTTGCCAAAAAAAAAATATTTTTTAAAATTCAATTTAGTAATTATTAAATTGATGAATTTTCTTTAAATCCCTACACTTCTAAAATAGCTATTTTGGAAGATTTTTAAAGTTTGAAAGTTTTTTGGTATGAATCACAATCAAATATAACCTGGTATAAAAAACTAAAACCTCCTTTAAGTACACAAAATTTTTCTTTTTTTTTTTTTTTTTTTTTTTTTCAATTAATTTTATTCTATTTTCTTGCTATTAAAAACCAAAATTCAAATTTAAATTATTGCTTCAGGTTTGACAAAAAAAAAGTCCATAATCCTTGTTTCAATTTGGACTGTTTTTGCTACTAGTTGAGATGTGCGGCACCATAATTTCCTCCTCCCAGAATTTGGCATCTTTTTGGGTGATAGACTTGTCTAAGTAGGTGTGTTGTTGTTGTTTGTTTTTTTGTTTGTTTTTTTTTTTTTTTAGAGAGAGAGAATTTTGTGAAAATTGAAGTAAGTGTTAGACCATAGAGGGGGCTATGTATGCAAAATTTCAATGGTGTATGATATGAACAAAAACATAGTGTGACATACTTTGTAATGTACAAAGCAATGGATACTGTTTTTTTATATATACAGTTTCAAATTTGTTATAATTAGGTAGGAAGAGTGATTAATATCAAGTATAGTGCATTTGTACATATAAATAATGCAGACATATTTGAGAGTGTGTGTGTGTGTGGAGAGAGAGAGAGAGAGAGAGAGAGTGTGTGTGCGATGGATAAATTGTCGTCTGAATTATGCAAACATGAAAATAACACTGACATCTCACTTTAACAGATATATTTACCAAAATTACACAAAAATATCTTGAAATAATAAAAAGTAAATTTATTCAATAAAATCACTATTGGCTTCAATGACTTTGGAATCACCTGCAACTCTTATGTATGGTCTCCTTGTTTAAGTTGATGAATGCTGATATAATCCTTGCCTTCAGTTCACCTTTGGTGTTACGAGGGGTTCTGTTGGTCTCTCACTCAAATCAATGGAGTGGCAGTCTGGGGACTTAATGTAAGGGGTTATGTGGTCTCAGAAATTGTCTGACAGCCATGACTGTGTTTAAAATGTAAATTATTTTGATAGTATGTGTTTTTTTGTTTTTTTTGTTTTTTTTTTGTTAAATTTTTTATATAAAGGATTAACTATAGTCATCACACTTTTGAACAGATTTCAAAGACAGTATCTGGATAGTTTTACATAGATCTATTCAACGGCATCTTGCATTTTCTGCAGCTATCTTTCACTATTTTTGAGGCAGCACCATAATTTCATCCTCCCAGTATTTGGCATCTTTCTGGGTGATAGACTTGTCTAAGTAGGCTTTTTTTCCTTTTTTTTTTTTTTGTTTGTTTGTTTCTTTTTCTTTCTTTTTTAGAGAGAATTTTGTAAAAATTGAAGTAAGTGTTAATCTGAAGGCACAAGGTCAGTTGATTAAAGCTGGTCTTGTAGTATCAGTATTAGTAGTAGTTCATTCAAGCAAATTTCTGCTAGGTCTGCAAAAGAGATGTGAACTCTGGTGTTTTCCTCATTGAAAATGGCATTGACCACTTCCAGACACTTTATTAATTGCCACTTTTAATCAGACCATTTGGCAACTTGTCTGATTTTGCAAAAGGAGCTCATCATACACAGTATAATCCTCCCAATCCTACCAGATACACAGCATCACCTTCTTTGGATGCAGATCAGTTTTTAGAGTAGTTCCTTTCATTTTCTCCCAAGACCAAATTGTTATAAACAATTTATTTTTTATTGCCTGTGATCATTCTTTTAAAAAAATGTGTTACTGTCAGCGATTTTAGCAGAGTATCAGATGAAAAAGCTATGCATAAAATTTTTCACCAATAAATCAGGAAGTACCTAAACATTGTAGCGATTCACATAAGCAAGTATTTTCAAATATATATATTTCAGCCATATGTGAAACTTTTTAATATTTGAGAAACTGTCTAAATACATACCAAAAAAATTTTGTATCACAAAGTAAAAGTTGTTTGTGTAATGTTTCAGCACCATTTAAATGATATTAAAAATGTGACTAATTGCGAATACAAGTGAATATTTTCATTTCTGATCTCGTGTGTTACAGGCCAACATTTGAAAGTTGTAATTTTCTTTTTGTTCATTAAAGAATGCAGGAATAAACGGTTTAAAAATCAATGAAAATAAAATTGTTCACAGAATGTAGAACATTATTTCTATCATGTCATGCACTACTTAGACATTGCACAGTCATCTCTTTAAATAATTCTGAAATTTAAATAAGACATATCTTCATGTTGTTCAACCTAAAGAAGGGATTAGAAAACCACAAAACATTTTATCTGTTGACATAAAAGATTCATTTGCTGAATATTAATGATCAAACAGAGATATACCAAAATATGTTTTGTCCAAAAGAATCTTAATGAAAATACTTAACTGCCAAGGATTTTACCATTAACTTAAAAATTCTTTTTATAATGCCACATAAATGGATGTTTTAAAAACTTTTATACTATAGAATAATTGTACTCAAAACTATTAATAAAGTTAATTGGAATGCTTAATTTTTAACATTAATAATAGAATACTGATCTAATGTATTATATAACAAAGTCTTCAATTATTTTTTTTTTTCAACAGTTAAAATTGAAAATCATTTATAATAGGAAAGATCTAAATATAATCATCTCAGAGTGAAAGAAAATAAAATGTAAAGCTAATGTCCAATTAGCACAATCACTGTAAAGTCTTAACAGATTGATTTAAACAATTTCTCTCTTTTTTTTTTTCTTTCGATTTTAAAATTCAACCATTTTCTTTCGATTTTAAAATCGAAAGAAAATGGTTGAATACATCAACATAGATATAATGACAATATTCTCCACACGTGACAATCTCTGACGTTATTTTTCAGTTAAAAAATATGAAAATAGCGTTTCTCTACATTCCAGTTGCTAGATACATTCTGTTTTTGTTTTTATTAGTTACTTTGTTCATTTGATTTCATTTACGTATTTTGCTTTGATAAAGTCCACATTGGACGAAACGCGTCGGCAATTACCAGTTTTCCTATTGTCATTTTTATTCATAAAATATATATAATGTGTGTGTGTGTGTCTTATTGTTTGTATTGATTATTGGTTTTTAATACCAAATGCTTTCTGGCATTAACTTTCTGGTTTTTCTTTGTAGGTGGTAGTAGCGATGACCTGCCAATCACCAAACAGCAAATCCTGGAAGTTGCTGAAGGGCTTGGCAATGACTGGAAAAAGTTGGCTGTTGAACTGAATTTCCTTGATGATATGATTGCCTATTTTGATTCTGAAAACCAGGATATTACTCAGAAGGCTTTGAAGATGCTTACAGTGTGGTTTGTAAGTAGAATCACTATATTATGTTTAATGTATCAGATGAAAATATTATTCATGTTGTAATAAAAATGTATATTGGCTGATTTTTTTTCCTTCCTTCTTTCTTTTCCAACATTTAAGCATTTTAGACAAAAACTGGTCTTGATTACACCTTTTAATGTTTTATTTTTTGCTGATGTATGTTGGCCAACAATGGGAATCTATCCCCCTACCCACAAGATAATTCATCTGCAAAGCAGATCTGAGTCACATTCAGTGAACAAACCTAAAGACCAAGTGTGAATTTCCAAAAGGAGGAAATTACGTAATTAACATTGTTTTCTACTTACCATGTACATTAGTGAAAACTTTAATTACCCTTCATGCAGAATGTCTTAGCAAAAATTGTGATTATAGGGTAAACTACTAGTTGTTGTTGTTAGTTGAAACAACTAAACCAATTCTGAATACAAAAAGCCAACACTTTTTTTTTTGTCATGTTTCTGTCTACCACTAATGACTTGTGATCACTTATTAACTGAACTCTTCTAAATAAGAATACAATATCATTCTATGAACATTTTTGAGCTGTTTGAAGATATTATTTTATTTACTGGTCCCTTCCACACTTTTTTTTTATATTTTGATGTTTGTCTTATAATTTTTTATTATTGAAAACTACAAAAATATGACTGAATTTATGAATGGTTTTATTTTTAAATGAATTTTCTTTTTCACCCTCCCATCAGGAAAATGAAGCTGAACCGGCTACACCAGGTTGTTTACGTACAGCTTTAAATGAAATTGGTTTATTGGAATTGGCCGACCAAGTGTTTCCCGATGCTGACGGCAACAACTGAAATGAAAAAAAAGAAAATCCTCAGCTTGTATCATTCAAAAGTCTTCTCCTCCTCTTCATTTGGTTGATTGACTCTTTTGTTTTCTTAATTATGTGCATTCTTCAACATGTCCAAGAATCTTTTCCATTCCAAAGAATGTCACATAAAATTTCATCTCAGACAAAAGTTAAATGTCTCTGCCATTTTATAAATGGTAATCAAAAGCAATTTTGAAAGTTCTCAAACAATAGGGCTTCATAAGATCTGTAAATTTTACCATTTGGCTTATGGATATATTTACAAGAGTGAACAGACCAAAAGCAAAAAAAATTATTAGTTTTCTCTTTAATAGATAAAAAAACAGTTCAACAGAAAATGCAATTTTTAAATTAATGACAAAAATTGAAGTGCATATATAACCTGATTAAACAACATTTAATATTTTGCACCTTTCACTTGTTTTGAAAACTAATTTCTTAAAATAATTCTTACAGTTTTCTCCCACATCTCCCAACTTGATTTACCTAGTCAATTGCATCTGAGCTGTAAAGGTTAATAAAATCATCTCTGAACTTTAAAGGTTTTAAAAGCAATAATTATTTTATAGTTATCTTCCAGAAAGTTTATCAAAAACAAATGTGTTAAGTATGTTAAAATATAAGTGCATTAAAATTTTCTATATTTGTAGTGGAATGGATATTTGAACAGTGTGGGCATAAAAATCAACAATCATCAGACCATGTAAAACTGATAATCATCATGCAGTATTAATTTCTATATCTACACACTCATAAATTGCTAATAGAAAATCTTTTGTTCTAAAAGTGCTTTTACTTTTTGAAGAACTCGTTTTATAATAGACTGTTTTCTGACCATTCTTTTCTTTCCCTCTTTGCACCAAGAATATTATAAAGTTAGGTAATAACAAAAGAAAATTTAATCACTAATAATAAAATAATTTTCTTTTTGGATATTATCTTGAAATGCTTTATTGAACCTGAACTCTGTGACCTCTTTCTCTTATTGATTCTGTCTCCAAGATACACCACATGATTTTTATCAAACATTGTTGGACATTTTTCATTCTTCCCAAAGACAAGGTGCTGCTGCAGTTACTGACCTATTTTCTTCATGCCATTCCTTCATTCAAAGTCTCTCTCTCTCTCTCTCATGCTACGAGGCTCTTTTATTCATAGCACACGTCAACAATGCAGTGTTTGGAAATGCAACAAAGTTCTTTTTGTCATTTGTAAAATAAACATCAAGCTGAATAAAGAGTGTTTATTATTTTTAATGTTAAAAAAACAAAAGTGTGTTTTCTCTTCATTTATGATTGTCTTTTGCTCTGCTTGACTAAAAACTTCTTTCTACATAAAAGATGCACACTCTCAAATTAGTATTGAATCCATTTGCCTAAGTTTTCAATTCTGGTAGCATCCTCTTATACTCACTTCATATACTCTGTTTATCTTACCACATAGACACTTATCACTTTCATGTCATAAAAATGCAAAGAAAATGTCTCATAATGTGGAGGCTGCTCTTCTCTTAGCTTCAATAAAATGATTCTACTTCTGTAATATTTTCTGCATGAGTAATATGATTCTAAACTTGAATCATATGTAAATAATCAGACAATATTGTTGGATCATTGGATGAGTTTTTATTGAATCAACCAAAGAATGGTGTCAATTACACTTCTTTCATCACTTCAACCAGCTTTGTCCTTTCACGCTTTGACCATTCATGTTCATCCACAGGATGACATAAATTCTACTAAGGATTTCTTTTTTACAAAATCCCTGAGGTGGGGGGGGGGGGTTAAACCATGGTATCATTTCAATGGAAATTTTGGTTGATGCTTTACTTATATTTTATCGTCTTTGTCCAAGTTTTGGGGGTTTTTTTTTTTTTTCAATAGAAATTATGATACTCAAGATTTTGCTGTATCGTGGGTTCAGAAGATTTTAATTTAACTTTTAAGGAGTCTTATTTATAAGAGCAATGAATGATATTGCTCTACAAACTACTAGGGCATAAAATGACAAATAATTTGAGTTTTGTGCTTTTTTTTTTTTTTTTTTTTTAACATAAAGCAATATAGGATAATTTGTTTCTAATCATTTCACGCCAAGCAAGGTGAAAAGGTGAAAGAGATCACTGAGAGTGAAAAAAAACTGCAGCATTCAAGGAGGCAGAAGATGACAATTGACATTGCATTTAAAGTTTAGAAGATCATAATTGACAGGAAGCAATAAGAGTTTTTCTGTAAGTGAGAAGTGTGAGAAACTAAATAACTCTCACCCAGACATGTTATAGTCTAAAGTTATTTGCAATTCATAACTGCATAACTAGGCTTCCATACATGGTAAATTAATGCCGTTTTTTATTTTGGCTCTCTCTCTTTTTTTCTTTTTTTTTTTTTTTTAAATAGTTTATTAAAATTATGCCTACTGATTACAGATGAATTATTTCTCAAACTTAAAAAACTGTTTTTATTAACAATTCAAATGCAATCAATTTCAAAAAGTATAAAAAGAATTTGGAAATATTCTGTTAAATTTTTTAAATTTTTTTTAAAAACAGTTTCTGACTGAATATTATTTCTTTGTATATACAATAAAATGCTAATTTAAGTTGCTAAACAAGGAAATATTTTCCTTTTATTTTGTATTTAAAATTTTCCAATCTAGGGCTCAAATTTTGATCTCATTTGAATGTTTTTCCTCCAAGAAATAAAATGATTTTAGTTATCGACATGATTATATTTTAAAACTTATTCATGGTAACATGACATTCTGAAATTTCATGAGAGAAAAGTATTAGAAATTACATTTTGCATTAAAGAAAATATTTTTTTAACAAGGAAAACATTTAACAAATACAGTCATTGATCAATAAATTAAAAAAAAAAAAAAAAAAAAAGATTGAGTTTACTGATTATGCCACCCCCACCAATTCACTGAAACAGGTGTTAAAATTATTTTCTATTGATTTTTATTCAAAGCGAAATATCACTGTTCTGAATTTCAATGTTTTTGTTACTTCTAAGTTTGATGCAAGCTTCTCATGAGGCTTTGGTTAATAACTTAGGAGGGATTTTTGAGACATCCCATGTAAAAACGGTGAATTCTCATGTCCTTTGGGAAATTATATCTCCAATCTCAATCAAAAAACAATATTCTTACATTGACCACACAAGCACCACATTCTCTTGTAAATTAACTTGTCACATTTTCATGTACAGTGATCATCACATGCAACCAAAATACAGCTATAAGCACAAGACAAATAGTAGATAACTAGCAGCATGGCCCGGTGTTGCCCGTGCTTGATTCAAAAATCATACGACTCGTACAGCAATCGCTATCACTTGACTTAAAATATTTTTGCCCTTCCATGCCTTTAAAGGAGTGCCCTTTGCTGTGCTGATGTTGCTACATGCCTTACTTCTTGCCTATCTCGCACTGAAAATTTTTTCTAAGCTCTATACTAAACATTAAATCTGTTACAAAAAAAAGAACTAAACAAAATGAACACAAAACGATCAGCTTTAAAAAAGGACTCTTAACTGGAAAAACTGAATGAAAAAAGAATGTTAACAAATACTTTTTCACACCCAACCCAGTTCTGTGGAATCGGAATCAATGTTGAGTTTAAGCAAGCGAATGAGCCAATTAGAGTAAAGTGCCATGCAGATTTAAATTTTTCCCACTTGTGACGAATGCAGCTATTTTTTTTTTTTTTTTTTTTTTTTTTGCATGCTAGTTAACATTCATATCAGCTGTTGGCTCTCACGCTAGCCAATAGAATCTTCCTGCCTATTCGTGGCAGCCAACTAGAGGCTCTCACTCTGGCCAGTAGAAAATGGCCGCAAACTACATGAAAACTGCCATAGAAGCATGAAAAAATGAATTATTACCAAAATACTATATAGTAGAATTTTATTTGACATTTTCCAGAATTCATGGCAACTAATCTTTTGTTTTCAACCTCAGCTTGGACTGTGTGTGGCTACACTTTGCATTTTCCATTTTCTTTATTGCAATGAGTGCAAGCAGTTCTGAATGCAACAAGTGCCCCTTAAACCATTGTCTGTTATTTTTCTGTAGGGCTATTTAATTTTCACTCATGTTCTTTATGCAAATATAACTGATTTTTAATGTATTTCTGTTGAATATTTTACGATGGTGGGAAGTGTTTGTAGAAGAGTTTAATGTATATTTTTCCTATATTTTTAAGATGTTTTTAAATTTTTTTGTTGTAGGGTAGCACTTTCTTTTCCTGTTGTCAGATAACCAACCTACATTTAATTGATTGTGGGATCTGCTTGATTATTGTTGGTGGTGGTTGGTTGGTTGGAAGATGTGCGTATGTAAAATGGTTTGCTGTTTGCCCCAATGACTAATATATGTAAATATTCAAGTTACTATTCAAGCCGCATGACCTGAAGATTGTGTTCAAGCATGAAACAGATTTGTTGCCATTTGGTGTTGATTTACATACCACTCTATCCCAAATATTGGGCACTTTTACGTTATAAATATAGCATATGTTAGAACGATATTTTATAAATATACTATAGAACTATATTTTAATAAATATAGCATATTTTAAACTATATATATATATATATATTATTAAAAAATCATAACATAAATATGTTATAAAATCACTACAAAAATAGGCATTTTCTTACAACACTTCTGGTGTCTTATCAAGCGATTGGTGTTGAATGTAGAATAAATAACCCTTTTTTCTACATTCAACACCATCACTTGATAAGACACCAGACGTGTTGAAACAAAATGACTATTTTTGTAGTGTTTATATCATATTTATGTTATAATGTTTGAATAAATAATTATATTTGCTCTACTCTGTATTGAGCACTCTTTTAAGAATAGTATTTGTTGGTTATTGAAATTTATTCTGTATACACCAATCCTATACTTGGGGGTGTATATATTATATATATATATATATATATATATATATATATATATTTATTTTGTTTAAAA